GAACGTGCCAGAAGCATGAGGATACATGCCGGATTGCCCAAATTTCTATGGGCTGAAGCTATCAACACTGCAGCTTACCTGATCAACCGTGGGCCCTCAGTTCCTTTGGATGGCGGAATACCAGAGGAAGCTTGGAGCAAGAAAGAAATAAACCTTTCACACTTAAGAGTGTTTGGTTGTATTTCTTATGTACACATAAACTCTGCTGAAAGAAGTAAACTTGATGCCAAGTCCAACAAATACGTCTTTGTTGGTTACGGTGGTGATGAGTTCGGTTACCGGTTTTGGGACTACGAAAATCGAAAGATCATCAGAAGCAGAGACGTCATTTTCAATGAAAATGTGATGTACAAAGATAGGTCAATCGCAGAATCAAGTAATACCGAAGCTGAAACAAAGGAATTTGCTGAGTTCGAGGATATTTCTGGAAATGATGTTCAGATCAATCCTGAAGCAGTTCAAGAAGAACCACACACACCAGAACTGAGACGCTCCTCCAGAATTCCTAAACCAACCCAACGGTATTCGCCTTCTTTGCACTATTTGTTGCTGACTGACAATGGTGAACCAGAGTGCTATGATGAAGCAATGCAGGTGGAGGATTCAGTCAAGTGGGAGTCTTCCATGAAAGATGAGATGGACTCGCTTATGTCAAATCAGACTTGGGAATTAGCTGAATTACCACCAGGCAAGAAAGCGCTCCATAACAAGTGGATTTACAGGATCAAAGAAGAACATGATGGGAGAAAACGCTACAAAGCAAGATTGGTTGTCAAAGGTTTTCAGCAAAAAGAAGGTATTGACTACAATGAAATTTTCTCTCCAGTCGTAAAACTGTCTACAATCAGACTGGTGTTGAAAATTGTAGCTGCGGAGAATTTACATCTCGAGCAGTTAGATGTAAAGACAGCTTTCCTTCATGGTGATTTGGAGGAAGAGATCTATATGAGGCAGCCAGAAGGCTTCATAGAGGCAGGCAAGAAAAACATGGTATGCAGGTTGAAGAAGAGCTTGTATGGTTTAAAACAAGCTCCTAGACAGTGGTACAAGAAGTTCGATAGTTTCATGAGTAGCAGTGGTTTTAACAGATGCCAAGCAGATCATTGTTGCTACATCAAGAGGTTCGACAATAGTTTCATTATTTTATTGTTGTACGTTGATGACATGCTCGTTGCAGGCTCAAACATGCAAGAGATCATAAACTTGAAGCAAAAATTGTCGAAGCAGTTTGCTATGAAGGATCTAGGCGCTGCAAAGCAGATTCTTGGGATGAGGATCAAGAGAGACACAAAGTCGGGGACTTTGATGTTATCGCAGGCTGAGTACATCAACAAAGTACTCTCCAGGTTCAACATGCAAGATGCTAAACCAGTAAGTACACCTTTAGGTGTTCATTTCAGACTCTCCAAAGACCAATCACCAAAGACGGAGGAAGAACGTGCACACATGGTGAAGGTGCCGTATGCCTCAGCAATTGGAAGTCTGATGTATGTCATGGTTTGTACCAGACCAGATATTGCTCATGCAGTGGGAGCTGTTAGCAGGTACATGAATAATCCGGGCAAGGTACACTGGGAAGCAGTCAAATGGATCCTCAGATATCTGCGGGTACCACAAACAAAGCACTTTGTTTCAAAGGTGGAGATATGATACTGACAGGCTATGTAGATGCTGACTTAGCCGGAAATGTCGACATCAGAAGGAGCACTACAGGGTATGTCTATACTCTAGGAGGAACTGCAGTGAGTTGAGTTTCTCAACTACAGAAGATAGTTGCTCTCTCCACAACTGAAGCATAATATGTCGCTGTTACGGAAGCCAGCAAGGAGATGGTTTGGCTCCAAAGTTTCTTGGAAGAGTTAGGCAAGAAACAAGAAAACAATATCTTGTATTGCGACAGTCAAAGTGTTATCCATCTAGCAAAGAATCCGTCTTTTCATTCCAGGACAAAGCACATACAATTGAGATATCATTTTATCCGGTCTCTTCTGGAAGATGGGATTTTGAAACTTGAAAAGATTAGTGGAGCTCAAAATCCGGCAGACATGTTGACAAGACGGTGACTACGGACAAACTGAAGTTGTGTTCAGCTTCAGTTGGCATGCTAGAATAACAAGACCAGACATGCTGCTGCATTGATCGAGGTGTGAAGACATATTAAAATCAGTCTTCAAGTGGGAGATTGTTAAAAGTTTCAAAGTTTGGCAACCAACTTTGGAAAATGTTTTTTTCAAAGTTTGGTAAATGTTTCTTTGAAAAATGTTTTTCAAAGTTTGGTAAAATTTTGGTAGATGTTTGTTGAAAATAGGAATGGGTAAATTCACTTTAGTCATTGCACTTTAGGGTATTTTCAAAGATTAGTCCCTAAGTTTCTACTATAAATACCCTTACCCATTTAGCTTCAAAATCATCCCAAAACATTTCTTTCTTCCTATACTAGAGAGCTTTCTTGTGAGTAGTGAGTGTTTTGTAAACACCTGTAAATTTTCTCTCTTAGTAAAAGATCTGCAGCAGCCCGGAGACGTAAGCACAATTGGCTGAACTCCGTTATCAACTTTCGGGTATTATTTTTCCGCTTTTATTTCGCATTCTCACTAATCTGGTTATAGGGAAATTACTTGCACTCGGTTTATTTTCCTAACATTCCTCCGATTCACCGATCTCCGATCATGATCTCCTCGCCCAACTCGAATCTCTCCGATCCAAATCTTCATCAATGGAGGAGAATCTGCGCCTCCTCCAGCAACAAAGAGACGAAGTCATTGCTCAAGTCTTTAACGGAGAAAGTCCACGACTTGTCACTCGAGGGAGACTTTCTTCGGCGTCAAATCGAGGAATTCGACGTCACTTTGAGAGAAAACGAAGAAGGTTTCGTTCGAAAGATCGACAAGTAATCGGAAGCAAAGCTAGAACTAGAGAAAAAGCTTCAACTTTCTAGAAGGGAAATCGAAGAGTTTGAATCCGGAACTAAAGTCAGAAATGAGGTACTTGTAAAAAGCTTGGATTCAATCCGGTCGGTGAAGGAAATTTTGGTCTAACTTATCGAAATTTTGAACGACGGAAAGAAAGTGACGGTGAATGTTGATAGTGAGAACGAGAAAACGCAATTAGACGATGAAGAACTGAGGGTTTTTTCGAGAGAAATTACCTCTGTTTTGAAGCTTGCGAGTGAAGCTGACTCGATGCAAATGAGTTTAAGGAAGCAAGAAAGAAGGAAAAGAGGGAACTGGAGAGCAACGTCGTGAGCTTAACAGAGGAGAAACGAGACATCAATAGCTTGTTGAGGATCGCATTGGTGGAGAAAGAGGCAGTGGAGAAGAGTTTGAATAAGTTAAAGGGGAACAATGAGCAAAAGAGGGTGGCATTTTTACATAATGCAGAACGAGGGTTGCAGAGACTCGGGTTCGGGTTTATGATGGGAAGCGGAAGCAACGACCACGCCATCGAGAGTTCCGGTCCCGGGGCCTTTAGTACCACTAGTCCACTACTACTCCGGGGACTAAATCAGATAATAGTGAGTGCGAAGAGGAGATTGTTAGCCTGGTAAGTTCAAGTTCACTATATCTCGTTTGCATTGACACATTAGTTCACATGGATGCTTCAATTTAGCAGTTCAATTGAACCTAAAATTCATACGGATCAAGAACTCATGATCCTTAACTTGTTTGTCATGCGGCTTGAAAGCTTAATTTTCATGGATTTTCAAACTTAAAATGCATTTGTACAATAGATAGATAAATTTGCAACAAGCAAAGTGTCGTAACTTCTGTCTTCAACAGGCCTCCACGGTGGAGAAGATAATGAAGAATCTAAGACTTGAAATTTCTCAGTTACGAAGATCTTTGGAGGAATCTAGGTATTTGATTAATGTTTGCAACTATTGTTTATGTTATCCTAACTTTTAATTTTCTTGTAAACTACGTATTTAGTCACTCACTCATTCCCGCAATTCTATTTTAGTCGTCCAACTAATTTTTAAAAGATTTGCGTCCAGCAAATATCCTGATATGAATACGAGAATATGATTACCTATTCTTTCGTTGCTATGTTAGGTCCGATATGTTAGGTCCGATAATGAGCGACTTCATAGTCTTGCAGAGAAACAAGCAAGAAAAATCGAAGAAAACACACTGTACATTAAAGAATTGGAAGAGAGGAGAATTTTTTTTAGCTAAACATGTTAGCATCTGCCTTTTTTTCTGCTTCCATTGGATCTGTTACTCTTCATATGTACTTGCCTTATTATTTTCATGAAAATTTAATCTTTATACGGTCGAGGAACTCTTGATGGAAATAAAAGAAACCGAAGCAGATGTTGCTAGATGGAGGCAAGCTTGTAGAAGCTGGAAAAAAGAGGTTGAAGAGCGGGACAAACTGGTACGTAGTTCTATTCGATTGGGTTTAAAATGATTTCACCCGATCCAAAACATGACTTAATTTTTGGGTACCTGACCTGATATATATAGTTGTGAGAGTAGCATAGATCATCTTTATTTCTATCTTAAATAGACTCTTAAAAATGACATCGAAATTAATTGGAGTTTGTTGAGATAAAACCCAACAGCATTGATGTTTGATTAGATTGTCACTTTGAAGCAAGAATTGGACAAAACAAAGCTCTGGGAATATCCAATGGCAAGCTAAAGCTGAAAGAAGAACTTGCAGCTGCTGTTATAGCTGCACAGGCAGCTGCAGAGCAGTCTCTGTAGCTGGCCGAAAGCAGAGCCGCTGGACTTCGTGAGCGGATGGAGGAGTTAACAAAACAATTAGAAGAAGCAGAGGGCAAAGAAAGGATCCGCCGGAAGCTGAGGCACTTTTGCTGGCCGTGGCAAGTCCTAAAACTGAATATCACCAACAATACCAATACTAGAGCTCAGAATGTTAAACACATGCCGCAAGAAATGCAGGTTTTGCTTTAATAACACCAGCTAATTGTAGATGTATCTTGTCACACGATTGTGTGTAAAGAAGAATATTCGAGTGAAAAGCACAGTAAAAGTAAAATACTCATAATAACAGAACAGGTAGGATTTTGCAAATTGGCAACTTCAAGTTGCATGCTGAAACTTGAAATCCATCCTTGATAGGCTAACTGAACAGCCCTCCCATTTCCTTTCTTATTATTCCTTTGATCTGAATATATAAGAAAAACGACAAATAAAGAAAGATCGAACAAACAAAAGATATATATATATATATATATATATATATGAAAAAGGAAATATACCTGTTTTTCTGACATGCCGATTTCTTTCAAATCGTCAAGCTGAGAAATAATAATTTTAGTTATTAAAGTAAATAAATTGCAAAATAAACCTTTTCAAAATATAACAAACAAGCCATAAACCAGCCAATAGGATGTATTCGATTCGGTTGGAGTTTTTCCTAAAAGATGAATCGAATCATACTATACATAATTTTTAAAAATAAAACTGAATCGAATTGTGAAGTAAGATTTCTATACCGAACTAAAACTTAACCACAAAATAAAAAAAAATGAAACAAACTGTACATTTTGATCTAGAATCAATTTATTAAATTTCTCGATTTCGTTACTCAATCCTACCGCAAAATAAACTATGAAAATTGATTTAATGCTATTGACGGTGGTTCTTACATCCTGAAAAGGCTCTGGTGATTCTTCACGAAGTTCAAGAATGTATGTAGCTCTTTTTTCTCCAATTCCCTTGAATATAATAAAAAAGAAAGAGACTCATAATTAATTTAATTACCATAATTGCAAATCAAATTAGGATTATAATTATATGCTCTCACCTTCAATCTTTTCAAGTCTTCTCTGTTGATAGGAAAATAAGAAAAAGATTTTATTAGTTTATCAATAATATTGAAAGTGAATTTCAAATAATATAGTAGAAATTAGATTTTTTTAATCATTTAACATTACAAATAATAAATATTAAATATTATAATATCTAGATTTTTTATGGATATTTCTACAAATCTACTATTTATATATTATTATAGAGTATTCTTAATATATATATATATAACTAAGATGTTATCAACAATCCAATTACCACTAGAATTTATAAATAGAGGTAAGTTTTATCATTGTAGTAAGAATGAAAAGTGGGAAAAGAGTGTAAAAAATGTGAGTTAACTTAGAGGTAGACAAGAGAAAAGTAGTGGGTGTAAGGGTGTAATATATTTCTTTAGGATTTGCATCGACTTCTAACATATCATATTGTACAACTTAGTCTTTCAAACACAAGTAGAGACACCTACAAGAATTACAAACTTAAAGGTAATATCACAAACCTTGCATAATTAAAGGATCACTTAGAAAGTTTTAGCCAATTGTTTATGGAAGTTCAAAAAATGTACTTACTTGCTAGCTGTGTTTAAGAATCTAAGATATTCATCGACAAGAGAGTTCTGCGATAAAAAAGAGTAATTAGAAAATCAGTAAGCTTATATAGATAGTAAAGTTTCATTACGTTAGAATCTACCTTCATTCTAGAACTACGAGCACTGAATGCTTTCCACGGACTGCAACTGTTAATTGCAATGTCTGATTTGTCATTAGCTAGTAATCTTGGTTCTGGAGTTCTCGGAGTTTCCGGCTCCAAAATTTCTGTTGGGACTTCACTATCAGTTGGAAAATCAATTTTCGACGGAATATCAATTTTTGACAGAATATCTATGCTCGACGGAGTTGAGGAATAAAGCAATTTCAGATTTTTAGACAACTCCTGCAATCTTGTGCTAATCGGGGGCAATTCATCCTTGCTCTCATCCTTGTCAACAAGTGCAAGGGTATTTTCCTTGTCTTTGGCTGAATCTGTTAAATAAACGAATCGAGTTATGCACAATAACGTGTTATCCTTATTATTGTCTATGAAAACAATTTTTCAACTTAACAAGCTTATTACCTGCTCCAACAAAAGAAAGTGCCTCACAGTTGCTATCAATTTTTGGAGTAGCTTTATCATGATTATTCTCATCAGTCACATTAACCTTTAGAATTAAATAACAATTTCAGCAGTAAGTATCCTCCTTGTCCATTTAAACAAGCATTTAAACACAATTTCTAGTTAATCACCTTGTCTGGTAACATGGTTTCTTTTGTAGCCTTAACTAGCATATCACTTTCTTCTGCACTAGAAAATTGCAAGGGGTAATGATCCTAAAAAGGAGAAAAAAACTATTAAACGAAAAAAAAATATCATTGATATCAAGGAATAAGATTTGAACTAATTATCAATTCTAAATGTTAAAAGTCTAATAAACTAAGAAACCAAAAAGTTCTAAGAAAGAGTTTTACCTCTGTAAAAGATCCTACTGCTTCTGAAATACCTGACGATTGCCTTTCCTGCGCAATATGAAGAAAGATTACCAATCAGAAAAAGGTTTAGAAAATGATTCACATTCTTAGATTAATGAATACGAAAAATGTTACCTCTTCCTGCTTGGCATGTTCAGTAACAGATGAGACAATTTCTAATGTCAAGCTTTCCTGCATTCAGATTTAGGAGCCTTATTATTAAATGAACCTTAATTTCATCATATTAAATGTTTTATTTTCTTAATTTTACTAGTGTGAGCTGAGCAAATACGAAATACAATACCTCCTGAGATGCCTTCTTAGATTTGATTGAATTGCATGTTTCATCAAAAAGTTTCCTTCAAATTAGAAAAAACAAAATGATGAAACCTTCAAATTATGAAAATGTTATAGAAAGAGATATATCATCACATACCTTCCTTTGATAGTTGAAGCCTTGACATTTGCTTTGTTTGCCAAAAATCTCGATCGTGTTCCAATTTGTTTTGTCTTGATTGCAGAAGCTGTCTTGCTTGAAGAAGAAAGCATTGTAGGTTCTACCATGCTTTTAGTTTTCTTTGTGGAGTTGGGTATAATCTTATTGGCGCCTTTATAAGAACGAGAAGCCAATTTTACCATGTACAACGAATCTTGGCAATAGGATGAATTCTACGCTCAAAGAAGTTAAAATGTCAATGTAAATTGCAAACAAATTATGAGAAAAGCAAGAGGTTCTTTTAACAAATCTGAAATTGAAAATCTCACCAAGCAAGTGATCATCAATATCTTATTCATCCCTCCCAACGAGTCGCGCAGCATTCGAGTTAGTTTACTTTCACGATAAGGGACATGGCTCTCATTGGCATTTAAAGCATAAACAACATTATGTAAGGCATATATGGACTTATTAATTATATTATTCTCTTGGAGATTAACACCATCGGTGCTTTTCTTTCTACCATCCTCATAACCTGGTAAATCCAATAACAGCTAGAGAATAAAAATGGATACTTTTAAGTCATAACAGGAAAAATATAACAAAATAATTGACCATATAATCAAAATTTGAAACCTGATAAGTCAACAAAATTCATCTTCCCAAGAGGAAGTGCATAAGATTGCTCGTCCCGAAATACATGAATGATTAAGCCTTTGTGACTTCTCTGATGAGGTTCAGCGATCATCTTCTCAGATTGTTTGTGTGAATTTTGGCTCGAAAGATGTTTATGTGAATTCTGACTCGAAAAATATAGTTTTTGAAATTCTTCAATGGACTTCACAGGAATCTGTAGAAAGAAATGAATCAGCTTATGAAACTAAAGGTAAGCTAAATAAATTAGAGAAACTTTGCTTCTAAAAACAACATAGATTATAACTTGCCTGAGAAAGTCCTTTAAGTTGAATTTTGCCACGAGCAACATCCTCCCACACTAAAACTTCATGCCTATTTGGATCTAAAAGATCATAAGCATGGTCTTTCAAAATCTCATAACATGATATGGAAATTAACTTGCCACCTCTCTCTGCCATCGAAAGGATTTCAACCATGGCTAGTACAGCTAAACCCGGTTTTGCTTCCCAACCCTTCAAAATTTAAAATTTCATAAATGAAAAAAATATACTCAAACATTATCAGATATATATATACATAACTACCTAATGTCATGTTTGGGAGAATGAATTTGAAATTTTGGATTTGAATTTCATTTTCTACATCAAAAAATGAAATGCTTAACTTGTAGATAACTTAGTTAGGTTTTAATGTAATATACATTTTAAACCTATAAAAAAGAATGAATTTATCTAATTCATATATTCTTTGGAAATTTCAAATTCACTGCTTGACAGCCATACAACAAATCTATAGATTGGAAAAATACAATTTACATCATTTTCTAGATTCAAATCTAAATTTAAAATCTAAAGTCACTAATGCTACCTAATAGCAATTTAAAGAAGAAGAAGAAAAAATTACCTGAATTGTAAAAGTCTTTCCACTGCCTCTTGCTCCAGAAGCAATGACTGTGGCATTACAACCACTAAAAACATCTTCAACAAGTGGCTTTACCTCCCTCGGAAAAATTAAATCATTTCCCTCGCTCCGATCGTAGCAATAATCCAGTTCGTACGACTCTTTCCGACTGCAAATTATCAACAAAATTGGGGGGGGGGGAAACACTATTAGCATACTTTTCTTGCATTCAACTATAAATTTAAAAAAAATAATTACCTTGTCGATTCATCTCCAAAAGAAAGCGTAACAGGTCCCGAATCATCTCCTCTGTGAACTGAAATCCATTTTCCGGAGGCTTCCTGTTCTAGATCTGTGAAGCCTTTGATTTTTGCTATCACTCGAGCCTTTCGACCTTGATTTGGTCCCATCGTAGAAGAACAATCTTTTGCTCACTGAAATTTCTTCTTCAAGCTGAAGAATTTGAGAGTGGCGTAGAGAGAATTGGAGGCTTTGATTTAATTTTTTTTTTTTTTAAATGAGGGAAAGACGTTTAAAGAGAAGGGAGGGAATCGGCCGTTAGGTTTGATTTCAAATTTGGTTGTTCTGGCGCTGGGGCGCTCATCTCCTCTCTTTTACGCTTTTCTTTTTCTTAAACGCTGCGTTTAGACTTAGAACCCAAAAAAAAAGGGCAAAGCACGCTAGAGGTGATTGAGCTATTCTATACGATTATTTTAGTTATTGAACTTTTAAATTATAAAATGATTATTAAATTTTATTGAATTATTATAAAATTGTCATTATTCATCAAACTTTTATGATTATTATATCATTTTATAATAAATACTAATTTTTTGAATATTTTATCTTTTAAAATTTAATAACCAAATGGTTCAACGATCTTCAACAACAACAACAATACCCTATTCCTATATGTAATGGGGTAAGGGGGAGGTAGGGTAGTAGGTTGTCCCCAATGCCAGGTTGAGAGCAACTTCCGTGGAAGACCTCGACAGTCAGACAATTAAAAAAATAAAGATAATATACAATGCATGTATAAATAAATAAATACATAGTTGAACAATCTTCATATGCAGTCTACATATGCGCGTCTGTAATGGGAAGTAATCCCTGCAAATAAATCCCTACGTAAAAATCTCTGCAAATAGACAGAAACGTAAGTCCGGGCTAAATTTAAAAAGAGGAAACAATGAAGAGAATGACATACAATAGTCAGCGATAGCAAGTTACGAGAAGGAATAAAGTTAAATGGATTAAAACCTAAACTAAAGCAACACTACTCCGTTATCCTTTTTCTAAGCCTTCATAAATTCAAATGACAAAAACGTATAAAAAATAGAAGTCATGAAAATTACTACAAATGCTTTAAAAAGAAGACAGAGATGTTACACCCTATTGTTGTGACTCACACTACTCGGCTACCCTAGTCTTAAGTCTTCATGTTTTTCTGTCAGAGGTCATGTCCTCGGTAAGGACTAAATCTTTCAAATCATATCTCAAGCAGTCTACCCACTTCCTCCTTGGTCGACCTCTCCTTCTGGCATCATCGACTATAATCGACTTTACCCTCCTGACCGCATCCGACGGTTGTCGCCTAAGGACAATAGTAAAGTTTTCACTTTATACGTTTTACTATTTTTTTTTCAATCAATTGATCTTAGTATAAAAAAAGTTAAAAAAATAAATTTATCATACAAACTATAAATTTTAGGGTAAAGTACATGAATGGTCCCTCGATTATAGGGTACTATTTTATTAAGTCTCTATACCATTAAAAGTTACAAAACGATCCTCCAACTATAGAGTGTTGCTTTATTGATCCCTCTACCTTCAAAAGTTATAAAATGGGCATCCAACTATTCATTATGTTCCCAACCCATCTTTTTCCATTAAAAATTTAACGGTATTATGAGTTGAACGTTAACTTGTTGTCCGTGATATGATAAAATTTGATCACGTAATCTCAAATGATTATTACATCTCAATCATCATGTTAACATCCAACTTAGATAACCACCAATTTTTTAACGAAAAAGGATAAGTTTGGAACATAATGAATAGTCGGGTGACTATTTTGTAACTTTTGATAGTCAATGAACTCAACAAAGTAACACTCTATAGTCGGAGGATTATTTTATAACTTTTAATAGTCAAATGTCTTAATAAAATAGTAACCTATAGTCGGGGGACTATTTTTATACTTTACCCTAAATTTTATAACACATAAATCTATTCATAGTCCCCAACTTGTGTTCAAGTCAAATGCATGTAAGAACACTCAAAACTTATCGTTCAAAAAAAGAACACTCTTGACTTGTATTTATAGTCTCCAAACCTCTTGAATGTTACAAAAGATTATTATCTGAAAAAAATAATTCAAAATTTTGGTATCTAATTGTACCATTAAAACAATTTTGATACTTAATTGCACATCGATGCAAAAATTATATTAACCTAATTTTGCTTTATCCCAAAGGAAAAACACTTTCTTAAAACTAACATAAACCCAATTTCATTTCCCTATCTCTTCTCTTTGCGCGTTTCCACAGTTTTCTTAACCTACAAACAAGGGATTTTGAGAAGATGGGCGAGAAAGGAGATGATAAAGGGGTGAAGAAGATACAGTCCCCATGCGACGTTGAGGCTTTGAAGAAGTGCTTGCAAGAAAACAACGGGGACTACGTCAAATGTCAATCTCAGATCGAAGCTTTCAAGTCTTCTTGTTCTTTGAAGAAATCAGTTCCTTCCGCGGATTCCGCGAGTAACAGCCGAAGCATTTGATTCCTGGTCTGATAAGAGGTAAATCCATCGATTTTGATCGTAACCCATACTCGCTTCACAGTGTTGCCTTTTTAGCTCTGTTGATCTTTTAAGATTTAGTTTCCGCTCTGTAATTTAAGAAATTTGGGATCTGGGCAAGAACCCAGTTCGAATTTTTCCCATTTTTGTTATGAATCATAGAGTTTAGTTTTGTTTGGTCAATCTAAAAGGATGGGGAATGAATACGAATGAATCAATGAATGTTGTTCATTGCAAACATCATACTGTTTCAAGTCTTATATTGGTGTTACTCCTAAAATTTACAATCACCAGTGATTGGTATGTGATTTCTTGAACACCCTGTGCCTGGATTCATCTTTGTCGAATAAGCCTTCGATCAATTCGTTCCAGCTTTCTTTGTTCTTGCTTCTACTCGATGATCCAAACGACGACTCGCTACTTGATTTATAGGAGTTATCGCCTTCCTCGGATTCGTCGAAAGTTCCGTATTTGGAAGGTGAATAAGCATGGGGAATTGATAATGAAACAGCCCTTTGCAGTGCGGCTCTGTACTCTTGAATGTGTTCTTTTGCCAATGTCTCCTGCCGTTCCATTCTCTGTTTCCCTGGGATCTCCATGATCCTATCTTTCTCCAGCATTAACTAAAGCAAAATCAAGAGGCGTGCAGAGTTTTAATTTCAAAGACTCGGAGAATGTATATATAAATGCATACGGTCTCCGACCTTTAAACTTACATCCATAGCTCTCTGAGCTTCTCTCTCGATCCATATTATAGCATGGTCCGAGGTGGCATTACAAGAAAGAACTATGTGCTCGAACCTTCCGTCCACAGGAACTGCGGTTCTCACAACCGGAGGAAATCTTCCTAATCTGCAAGAGAGATAAAAATTCTTATGCATATAACGAGCGCAGCTTTTCACTACGATGAAATATAGAGAGAGGCACCAGTTGTTCCTCATTATACCTGAAAGGTTTTCGCTCAACAATGTGATAGAGGCGACCGGGTGCATATAGCCTCCTTGGATCTTTAAGCATTTTTTCCTCTGGTATACAAGTATCCGTCATGCATCTCAGACATAGAAGGCATGGCAAACTGTTTAAATCGAGAAAGAAAACAACCGGACGTAAGCATACTTTGATTAGGAACAACAATAACGAAGCTATAACTCTCTTTTCGTTTTCCATATCCTGCCAATAGGCATTGTTTACGGGGAGAAGGGAGAAACCGGAGGACAAGGCATGTGACTGCCTTTAGAAAGCATTTTAGGACGGACACCAGAAGCCTATCAGCTATAAGCAAAATAAAAAAGTTTGAAATGGATGGTGAAGTGCAATTATACCAGAAAAGTGACTTGAAAATGTCTTCTAAAGGCGTGGCTGTTCGCGGCAAGAAGTCATCCTGATGAAGCACCATCCACAGTTCAAATTAAAGACGAATAGTCGGAAACATTTCGCAGATTTCAAATACTATGATTCTCAATTATATCATATCACCAAGTAACATACTCTTAACAAGATGCTTTCAACATTAGGTGATGCTATGTACAAAGAACACAGATTCAAGCTTTACATAGCCACTTGGACTAATATCGTACATATCTAACCTATAACACGATTCCTTCCGGTATCTATGCCACTGTATCGGACATTATCACACCTAAAAACATAATTCATGACTACTTCCAGCTCTATTTTCAGCGAAACATAAGACCAAATGTTAAAGGGTGGAAAAAAACTTGCCTGAAGAACTACAGAATTGATGACATCTGCATATCTGACTGCTAAATTCAACGACATGCACCTTGCAGGCGCAATAGCATAGCAGCTGATCCTCCTCCTGTCAATGTTTCCCAGTTTATCCTGATGCCGGACAACCACCGACGCTAACATGGCTGCTACGCCTGACCCGAGAGAATGTCCTGCAAATGTCAAAGTATAATTCGGATACTCCTCCACAAGTTCCTTCAAAACATCACACTCAGCATCCAAAACCCATCCAGCAGCTTTCAAGAGTCCATTATGAACATATCCACCATCGAATTTCCTTTTACCCAGCTTATTATCCAAAAGCACTTGGTAATCACTTTCTTTCGCCAAATTAAGACCTCTAATGGCAAGGACGATATCAGCATGATCATGATCGAGATATAGTATATACGAAGGAGCCTGTCCCTGAGTGTCTTCATAAGTTTTTCTGACAATTAACCAATCAGGGTTGATCCCATACCCACTCGGGGGTTCCCAAAGGGGATGCCGAATATCATCTTCATAAACAGCTAGAATATAGCGACACATTCGAGGAACAGGCTCAAATTCTTCGGCGGTTGCAAGGCCCCATGTCTCACTGTCATGGCCAGCAGTATGAAGGCACCTTTTCCACACCCAGCGTGCACAAGCCAGACAGTAAACGCACTCGATTAGCGGCAGGCCACATATAATTGACATTGATGCCTACCCTCTAACAGTGACAACAAAGAACACAAAACATCGATGTTTTGCATGCAACGGCGTCGAAACAATAGGTCCCCCAATGTAAGAAATACCAGACAAGAACCTAGAATATTGAAACATGTTAATGATTTGAGAAATGGATGAGATATCAAATCCATATCTGTTAAAGCAACAACAACTGTAACAATTGGAGCAATTAAACAAAGAAATTCAAAGAGAAGGCAACATAACTATGTTGAGTCTGTATCATCTATTTCAACTACTAAGTTCGAGTATTCGAATTCAGCATATCGAATCGATTGCCAGCCATATGCAAACCGAGGCTAGAAATCGGATGAGATCAAGTGCAGAAAATGATTGAAGCGATAAGATTTAGAACAGAATAGCACAAGAATGTGAGTTTAACAGTTCCTCTAAGATGCACCATCAACTGAATATACCAAAATCACTATAAAATATGAACACAGAAACAGTCAAAACAGTAGTCAGGCCAATAAATTAGAATTACTTACACAGCACCATGTGAAGGGTAAAAAAAAACGAAGCACTCACCAGGAGAGAGTAAACGATGGCTACAGAAAAAACTGCATGAATTGATAGTTGTATCGTTAAATCGATCTGGGTCTTTCTAGCATTAGGGTTTCAACGTCATGAGCTACCGAGTGATCACAAATTTATCACTGAATCTGAAGAAAAAAATAACAAAAAGAACCATGTGCAAATGATTAAGAAAAATTTAGAGCAGAAAGAAGAAGAGTTATTAGACTACAACAAATGGAGTTGTAATTTCGAAATTTTTGTTCTCCATGTGCAGACGATCGTTGATAAGAAAATAACAAAAACGACATGGATGGACTTTAATTTATGGAAGGTTTAGGTAGAGATTGGGTAATGCTGAGTTGTATTATGAAGATTTAAACTGACAAGGAAAAAGGTCAGTGTAGTAAGACAAGGCTCATCATTTGTCGGTTTTATAATGATAAAATTAATATCACAATATCACCAAAACTTTTAAAATTATTTCACTTTATTAACTAAATTTTTAATTAATTTAACAGTCATTGTTATTAATAAACATTGACATGACTTTAATTTTTTTATAAAAATAAACTTTTTAAATTAATATCTTTTCGAGTGATAGATCCATAAATAACTTTTAGGGTAAGACATTTATGTAATAATCACATAAATTTTTTATACATGATGATCATAATTAAAATTTCAATGTAGGCACTTATATATTAATCACTTATATATTTAGGGATGGCAACTAAACCCGAATCCGACAGGTTTCGACCCGACCCGATCGGGTCGGATTTTTTTTTAAAAAAAATTGGGTTCGGGTCGGGTCGGGTCGGGTTTTTTTTTTAATACACTGTTCGGGTCGGGTCGGGTTGGGTTTAGGGTAAAAAAATCCGACCCGACCCGAAAAATATATATAATTTTATCTTATATATTTAGGGATAATTACAATAATATCACTCCATATATAATTTTTTTCAATTAAGTCACTGTTTTCATTGAATTAATTTTTTTTTTATTTCGGGTCGGGTCGGGTCGGGTTTTTAAGTCATATATTCGGGTCGGGTCGGGTGAAACATTAAGTTTGTCGGGTCGGGTCGGGTCACGGGTGGAGAACCCTTTCTTCTCGGGTCGGGTGGGGTGGCCCAAAAACCCGACCCGACCCGACCCATTGCCATCCCTATATATATTTGTTAGATCCTTAATGGATCCACTATTAACCATAGCAAAAGTTATTTTTTCGATAAAGAGAGGGGATTGTACTTTTATGTTAATCTCAATGGTGGATTTGACTTTGTTTGGTAAAATGTAAGTTATATTTTAAATACTAATAACTGCATTAACTCGTTTATATCATCAATTTTTTAATTTTATTAATTTTAACACTAACATTCATATTTAAGTGTAATTATGTCACCCTGTCGATAATAGTTTAACAGGATAATGACATACTATGACTTCTCTGATGTGGATGTCACATTTAAACGACATCGTTTTGATATTTCTACTTTAATGCTCAAAAATAGGGGTGTAAACGGGCCGAGTCGAGCTTGAATATTGCTGAGCTCGACTCAAACTCGAAAACTTTAAATGTAAACTCGACTCAAAAACTCACAAGCCTAAAATTTTCAAATTCGACTCGAACTCGAAAGATAATATTCAAACTTGAACTCGAAAAGGCTCGAACTAAAAAAAAATCAAGAGCTCAATTAAAACTCGAGACTCGAACTTGATTAAAGCTCGATTTTGAACTCGATTCAAACTCGAGCCAAGATCGAAACCTAAGAGGGGGTTTGAAAGACATGACTCGATTAGAACCGAATGAGTTACGTCATTGCCCCCAACGCAAATCTACCTTAGACATGCGTATCCTCGACTTTTATAATATCCCCAACGCAAAGCTTACCTAAACCTACCGATGTGGGATACTGGGATCAATACATACCTTCCTCTTCCTTTTGTTCATCCACCACTTTCCCATGGTTGTAAATGGAACCTCCCTGCAAGACAATTCTCGAACGAAACAAGCGGCTCTACATTGATGTGATCAAGCACCAAACTCTCATATTCCTCATCCCCAAATTTAATTCTTTCAGACCCCTCTCCAAATCACCCTTACGAGCAAATGAGGGACAGTAAAAACGCAAGTTAAAACAGGGAAAACAAAAACTAAACACTCACAGAAACAACTTGCCATGCGACAAGAAAACCCGATCTTGGATAAATAGAAAACAACTTGCCAGGCGGCAAGAAAACCCTAAATTATGGTATTCGATGAAGCCATGACAATGGCCTCTTTGCTTGAAAACTATTTCGGGTTTCGCCATGACCGCTTACACATTACAGTTGTCGTTTTGATTTCGTGTCCCCTAATTTTTGCAACCCTTTTTCCATATTTTCTTACCTTGAATATGTATGTCCCACAAGGATGAAAATTCTGTGCATAAATGAATTGTGTTCCCTTTGTACTGAACTGGGTTTCGTTGTGTACTCTTTGTTTGAGTTCTCACCATTCCATTGCTTGTTGTAGTTTCTAGTCTTGAAGATGCTCTAATTTAATCAACCTTTCATTAATTAAGAAACTGATCCGAACTAAAACCAGAATACATGGATCCAAATGTATGGCCAAACATTTCAGTTGATATGCATGGGTTTTAAGACATTTTATGGTGAAACAACCACTAGATTCAGACTTGGGGTCGAGACAAACGACTCATGAAATTTGAAATCGAATAGTCACCATCTACGATGGACCATCCTAGGATGTGTGAGCATTGTTAATTGATAAAGAAAATTTTAAACATATATTACTTTATAACTATCCCAAATTCTACTTCCATTCTAAAACGCTTTAATTGTTTATAATTATATATATCATAATCCTATCATGTATTTACCTTTACTATTCATATGATTCAAACTCGTCATTTTTTATTAAAAAAAATTGGTGATTGCATGATATTGATGTTAACTTGTTGACTATGGTATTATAAAATATGATCACATCGTTTTAGTTGTATTTGTACATCAAACCTCCGTTTACATTATGTCGTCGAGTCAGTTCTTGAAATATTATGTTTGTGAGTCAGTGCTTGAAAGCAATGACGGTGTCGATAGTTATTATTAAGATATGATAAAATCATGTCTCAATCAGCAAGTTGTCTATATTTATTTTGCATGTTGATATGTTTATGTATAAGTATGCACATGATTTATTTAGGAGTCACATAACATCATTTTGCATAATTTGTATGTTACCTTCATGTGCATAACTTAACTCCTATCACATAATCGAATTTAGGGTTTAGGGTTTAGGATTTATGATTTAGTATTAAGGGTTTATAGTTTAGGGTTTAGGGTTCATTACAAATACATTAATTAATCAATTTGGTATCGATTTATGAGGTAAGTACAATATATTATATTAATATTAAATGCATTACAATATGGTTTAGTTGTATTATAGAATTTTTAATATATTTTTAAAATTTTATAATTATCAATAATGTATTTTTAATATATTTTTAATAATATAATTTTAAAAAATCTAAAATTATAATATAATATTTTTTCGAGCTGCTCACGAGCTTTTCGAGTCGAATATCGAGTAGTTCGTTTCGGCTCGTTAAAAACTTGAATCGAGTCCATTCGATCTAAATATTTATCGAGCCTTGATCGAGTCAATCTCGAATAACTCGTGATCTATCTCGTCTCATTTACAGCACCACTCAAAAGATCTAAAATGATATCGTTTTACTTCAACACTAATTTTTCTAGAGACTAAATTCAAATTTTCCCATTATATTTTCCTTTCTTCCTCATCATCTTCAGCTGCATCTCCTTTTCCATGAATTTCTTGGCAACCAAACAGATGGTTACCAAAAATTCAAAACATTGAAGGCCGTTGTTCTTGAACCGCTCGTTTACTATGAACCCGATGGGAGCTGAGTCGAAAAGCCCCAAACTTCATCTTCTTCTCAATAGCCATCGTCTCTTAATCGAGCAGCTTCAATTTCCAAGTTCTACATTTCACTCGGCTCCATCAAAGGCAAAGTTAAACAGCTCTGCAATTTGTTCAAATCCGCCAAGTCTTCATCGAACTCGGCAAGTCCTAAGGAAATTTCTCCCAAGGTTGCTTTAAGAACCTCGAAATCAAGTGTGTATTGCTTCTCTTCAAGCCTTAACAACTCTTTGATAAGGTTACCGGGAACAGAAGATCGAATCGTTGTTTATTTAACTAACTTAGGGGGGATTCGAAGGACTTACGAGGATTGTTACGCTGTCAAGATGATATTTAGAGGGTTTGGGGTTTGGGCTGATGAGAGAGATATTTCCATGGATGCTGCTTACAAGAAAGAGTTGCAAAGTGTTTTGAAACAGAAGACAGAGTTTGCCCAAGGTTTTCATCAGGGGAAGTATATAGGCGGTGCTAATGTGATTAAAAGCAAGTTTGAAGTTGGGTATTCAAAAATGCTCTGAATTTTTGGTAACCATCTGGTTTGTTGCCAAGAAAACAATGGAAAAGGAGATGCAGGTGAAGATGAGGAAGAAGAGAAAAAATAATGATAAAATTTGAGTTTAGTCCCTAGAAAAATTAGGGTTTAAGTAAAACAACATCATTTTGAGTTTTTTGAACATTAAAATAAAAACGTCAAAATGGCGTCGTTTAGATGTGGCATCCACATTAGCAACGCCTAGGCATATCGTTATCATGTCATTGTCTCATTAAACTATTAACCACAAAGTGGTATAATTACACTTAAACGTAAAAATTGGTGCTAAAATTAATAAAATTAAAACGTTTGTGATATAAACGAGTCAGCAAAAGTTTGTGGTATTTGAAGTAGTTAACCGAAAAGATAACATAATTGATTTCAAGTTGATCCAACAATTGAAAGTGGTAAACATAAAATTTTATCTTCTAGTTTCGATTGAGATTTAAGGATATTAGAAGATTTCTTCATAAGTTGAAACTAAATAAATAAAGATATGAAGAAGATGAGTAGTTTGGCGATCTTTTGTATTGAGAAAACTATTGAATGACGATAGAAACAATGACGAAAGGAGACAACGATCTAGAAACTAAAAATTAAAACTTTTTTATATTTTAGATCAACTTAAAATCAAAATGTGTTAATCTTCTGACTAAACAAATCCTTCTCTTGATATTGACCGACAATCATTTCATTCATGGAATAAATCGACTGTAATGAAATTGGAAGGCTCCAAGTGAGATACTTTGAGGTTCCCTTGGTTGCTAGGAAACTCTTGTTGGTTGGTTGATTGCAAGCCTTTAGTGGATAGAATTGAGGTTCGATTTCATACTTGGGTTGCTCGGAATATTTCATATGCGGGGAAGGCTCAGTTGATTCAAGTGGTGATGTCCAGTATCCAGAACTACTGGAGTCGATAGTTGGTCATTCCTAAGTCCGGTCTTACCCGTATTGAGTAGTTTTGCTCCAGATTTTTTTGGAGGAATGGTGACATTGGGGCTAAAAGGGTTTGGGTTGGGTGGAAGATGATCTACAGCCACAAGTCAGAGGGAGATTGGGACTTAAGGATTTGAACACCTGAAATAATGCGTGTTTGATACTGTTCATTAAGGCTATCCTACAGGGGGGGGAAGGTCTATTTGGGTGACCTGGATTCATGAGTATGTCCTGTGGGGAGCTGACTTTTGGCAGGTACAGACTAGTCCCAGTCATAGTTGTATTTGGAGGACACTACTTAAGCTGAAGGCAGTTGTCACTGCTGGCCTTGTGATGGACTCAAGGGTGACCTTGAGGAAGGTCTGGAATGCTATCAGGCTGAAAAGGGGAAAGTGTCGTGGCATAGGCTGGTTTGGCATGTTTTTCTCATTTCCATGCACTTTTTAGATGGTTTTTCTTAATAGGCTTTCAACAAAGGATAGACTGCAGGCTTTTCAGATGCAGGTAGAAGGGTCTTGTATGCTGTGTGGAACGAATTCAGGGACCACATTTTCTTTGGTTGCTCATTCCCCAGAGAGGTCTGAATTACTGTTCTAAGACTGTGTGGCTTGTAGAGGGGGTCCTTGGTTGGCATTTGGAGTTCCTTTGGGCTGCGAAGAAGCTGAAAGGGATTTACTTGCTCACTGTTATTTTGCAACTGGCTCGGTGCTCATTCATTTATTTTGTTTGGAGGGTGAGGAACCGTAGGGTGTTCCATGGGAGGTAGGGTCTTGGACAAGATGTATTGAGGAGTAAATCACCATGTTAGATCTCTTATTCTTTTTTATCTATATTTTCGAAATGCTTGTTTCGTCCGAGAAGTCACTGTACTGGTTAATTTTTTTTCCAGAAAACAAGCAAGAGAGTCCATTTCATTAGGAGCTTAATCCGGGAAGTTGCTGGTTTTGCACCATACGAGAAGAGGATCACCGAGCTTCTGAAAGTCGGTAAGGACAAGCGGGCTCTCAAGGTAGCTAAAAGGAAGTTGGGGACTCACAAAAGGGCAAAGAAGAAGCGTGAAGAGATGTCAAGTGTTCTTCGCAAGATGAGGTAATATCATACTACATCTCACACAAGCAAAGCATAACATATCGTCGTGTGTTTCGGGGAGCCTTATTGTCTGCGAATGGTAATAAATATTGTTCTTTGTGTGATGTTGCTTGCAGGGCCCATGGCGGAGGTGCAGAAAAGAAGAAATAAACCTTTGTTTTCTCGGTCTCTCTCTAATCGCTTGTTCGCTTTTACGAGCCGACAGTGGTTTGTTTTGCATATGTTTTGTTCTTCGTTGTTCGAGATTGAAATCTGCGTTTCGAAAACTTGTTTATTCGAATTAGGTATGAGAGATTGGAAGGAGTAATTACTTTAAATTTATGCTGTTTTTTTTTCAATTTATTATTATCGCCATTGTTATTATAAAATGCACAATTATACAAACTATTTTCAAGTTTAATGTCTGTATTTTTAAGGGTAAATTGTGTGTTTACTACCTAAACTATTAGTTTTGTTTTGTTTTAGTATTTTAGTGATTAAATTGTCAATATTTTCAATATTATATCTAAAGTTTAGTTTTGTTTCATTTTTGTACTCTCGTTCAAAACTTAATGTTAAGTTTTGGAAAAAATTGAATGTTCAAGTATTAAAATGGATCAAGATTGATAGTTTATGTACTAAATGTGTTGAGTTTTTAATGGTTGGTACTAAAATGAAATAAAATTTAAATATTAGGTATGATTTTAAAAAAAATTGAAAGTTTAAGTATTAAAATGAATCAAAATTGATAATTTATGTATTAAATACACATTTTACCTTATTTTTAATTGGTTTTAAAATTTAAAAGATTTTAATTAAGTCCTTAAACTATCAATATGGTTTCATTCATGCCTTTCTGTTAGTTGAAGAATATGTTTGAGCAATAAAAGTAAGCTCGGATCCGACATAAAATATTTTTATGATAACATGAAACGTGGACACATGTGTGGATCAAATTTGTAAACATGGGTAATGTCAGTGCTTTGGGTTTCGAGATGAAATTATAAGCTTTTTGTGGGGGTCAAAGTATGAAAATGGATTTGAATACATTTAACATCTGAACTGTTGTACAAAGTATAAATTTAATACTTTCTTCCCTATTTCACTCATTATACTTTAAATTCGTTCAATTTTCTCTTTGAATTTTTTTTACCGTTTTCTTACTAACAGCGTTATAAATTAGTTGTTATATAGATGCAAAACGACGTCATTTTGGTGAAAGTTTTGTTTTTCTAAAACGACATCGTTTTAACGCCGTTAACTATCTAACGGTGGAATGAAAAAAAAAACTAAATATATTAAGTTCAATGAGGAAATTGAACGAATTTAAAGTACAATGAACAAAATAAGAGAGTAAAATTCAACGATGATTAGCAAGCCCGGCCCAATACATGTGTCAGATGGGCTTTAGCCTAGGGCAGCATGCTTGAGGGAGGCATCAGTTTTCTAGTGTTTATAGTGTGTATATATATATTTGGCCCAAAAAAATTAGCCTAAAACACCTGATTGGTCGATGGAAGGCTTATGGTAGGCAACGAAGATTCAAAAAAATTAATTCTCCCTTGGAAGTGCAGACGTCATACGGTGCTTAATCAATTCTCCCTTCGAAAATCTAAAAAAATTAATGGAAGTTGGATGGTTTATTATACGGTACAAGTATATAGGCATAAAATTATTATTTCGCCCAAGGCATTAAAATTCATTGGACCGGCTCTGATGATTAGTTTAATTTACCCTAATTTTAATCATAGTTCAGAAACGTTTAGTGCAAGTAGATATGGTACGCACGAAAAATAGTATAGATAAGGTCAAATTTTATCCATATATTATACAACAATTATAAATTTAATCTTTATATTCTAATTTATTCAAAATCAATCTCTATATATCTATATTTAAAACTTTAACGATACTAACAAAAACGCTTAATTCTCTGTTAAATAATCGAGTCAATTCATACAATCTTTTAATCGAGTCACTGATAATTCTGTCTTAACAAAAGAAATATCCGAAAATACATATATATGCCTCTACCGTCTAAGGAAGAGACAAAGGGGAAAACAAAGTAACTAATTTCTGCGCCTCACAAACGCCATGCTTTCCGCCCTCCGTAAGCCCCCCCGGAATAAGGTGAAGTCGTTCGATATCAGAGCTCACAAAATAAGGGGTAGTTGTTCAAATCAGAGCTCGCAAAATAAGGGGGAGAACGAGCGAAGCCCATCCGCCGTCGCGTTGTATAATTCATTCCACAATCTAAACTAAATAAAACTGGGAATATAGATATTCCCGTATCTTGTAGTAATCCTCGCACAAGGGGCCTTCCATTACAATTTGCTGTGTACCAGAACCACCACCCTAAGACGGAACGAAATTTAAGGGGAACAAAAGGGAGTGAAAAAACGTATCATGGTCCGTAAAAGATGATGTAAAGGATGCTAGTCAGTCTCGTTAGCTTGCCAGACAGCGAGTTAAAATGCCAAATTGCTTACCTTCTGGCTTGCAACGCCGACCTTGCGCAATGTCACATACTCACCACATCGCAGTGCCCCACCAGAAAATTCTACCTGTAAAAAAGTACCTTCAGATATCAAAAGAGGGCTATACTTTTTGAGATTTCGGTCTCTAAATAAGGAAAGTTTGAGGTCTTTTCCATTTCTTCTGTGACTTGTTTAGCAGTACCTTGACACCCTTACTGGCAAGAAACTGCTTGAAATCCGACATTTTTAGATCGCCTACGACCACAGATTTATGTGGTGGAGCTGGCGTCGATAGAGGTAGTAAAGAGAGCATGTCATTTTCTGTCTTTCCTACTTCAGCATCCACCCAAGCTATTTCGTAGTCTCCCAACTGATATTGCAATTATTTTAGACAAAGCGATGGAGATTGAATATAACTCAATGATGGCGGCTATCAGCATCACAAGATAAATTCTATTAGATACCTTTTTAAAGAGCACATTGCTCATCAGGTTCTCAGATAATT